TGCAAAAAAACTAAAATAATATAAAATATTGAAAAATGAAAAGAAAAAAAAAAGCTAAAAAAATCGCTACAAATTAATATTCAAGGATTTCTTCTCTTTTTTTCATTCACTTACTAAAAGGGAAAAAGATTATATATTAAAAAGTTTTAAGTAAATGGAAGGTAGGAATACGGGAGAGAGATTTTGTAAAAATTAATTAAAAGAGATTTTTTTTTACGATTAATGAGGAAAAAGATTGCATTAATAAATTAATTTTATAAATATGTACTTTCCATTGCATTTCTGTCCCACCAGTTTCACGCCTTGGCACTACCATGCAAATCAGCGTTGCCAATGCTATGCCCTGAAGCCTATGCAGCAATCATTTTGCCTGAGCATGCTTTGCATGAACATATACAATGATACTAATCCAATCAAATGCACTAAAGATCATTTATTTCCTGTAATATTAGATATGTGAAGAGTATAATTTGATAGTTTATAGTAAAATGCACTATTGGGACCTTTAGTTCCCTTTTTCACGAAGAATGGATCGAATGAAATTCTGCTTGGCAGAATTGATAAGAAATGAATTTAAGCTACTATGTTATTTCCTTCTACTCTGGAACAACAAAAAATGATAAGTTTCGTAAGCAAAACCGAAAAATCTTCTAAACAGAAAAAGTTGAAAAAATAAATACAGTAACAAAACAGGTCTTGCAAAGCCCGGGGAAAGGAATGATTCGACAAGTAGTAACAGAAATTATAGCATGAAACAAAAAATATAGCCAGAAGTAGCAACATATCTACAAATTCATCAGTAAGTAAGAAGATATTTTAAGACCACAAACACAATCCTAGTTTCGCAAACAAACATGAAAATACAATATTTCAAGATGCACATAGAATCATGCAAAAGAAGACATGCATAAAATTCGTCAAACCACGATTAATTTATGCTACCGGGAGGTAAAATCGCCCCCTGCCCAGACCTTTAGATCATCATTCAATCAACCCTTAGTCCACGATCCAAGAGTCTAGATTGCGGGTATCGATACTGCCTGCTACTACCCTTTTATGTTAAAGCATTAACCAAAAACATTTCTCACAAGATCCTAACCAAGACAATTCAAAGTAGATACACTATAATCCAAGAAAACATCAAGAACGTATACACCACCAAAATAACAAAACAAACACAAACTTACTGGACTGACCAAACTAGGCCTCACAGCTTGCAAACCATCAAACATCAAGTAGAATCAAAGTTAAAACAAAATGAATTAAGTTGTAGTCACATTACAAATAATAAACAATCAGATACGCTAATGCATAAAATAAAAAATAAAAAAAATCAATTCACAGGGATTGAACTGAACTTTTTCATTCCTTTATCAAAGATAAATACATTCAAAATTTCATTGAAGATATTCCACAAACAGATGGTGAACATGTTGAAAACAACACCAGATGTTAAAAAATTTTCAAACCCATTTAAAGACACAAAATTCATAAGAAATACACAATGGAAGAATTTAAACAAAACCCAGAAACCAGTTTGTTTAATATTTGGCAGAAATTGAATGGTGTTCGAGGAATAGAGAGCATTGATTAGATGGAAAAAAAAAATTAAGCTTAAATTTCAAAGAAAATGTGTACCTCCGGAAATAAAAATAAGAGAGGGAGAGAAGGCGTCCTGTCCTGTGTTGGGACTTTAGATGTTAGAAATAAAAATTGTGAAATTATTTTTAATTTATTCAATGAGAAGTTTCTAACCATCATTCTGCCACAGAATGTCAGAGGAAGTTCCTCTTCTGTTGTCTCTCTTTGATCAGACCAATCGATGGAAGCACTCTCGGTCTTTGAGTTGCCTTCACTTGAAGATGCAGGTGAATTAGGGTCTTCGGATATATCTCGACACAAGTGTTTCAATATGAAAAGGGCGGTGTCGTAACACAGAGACTCAAATTATATAAAAAATATATATTACACGTGCAAAAGCACATGTACTCAGCAAAATTAAGCAATATCACATGAAAACTGCAGCTACACAGCCATAGAGTATTAAGTTATGAACAGATAGGGTCAAGTGCTGTTGTTTTAAAAACGTTTAAGCTGAATTGGTTTAATTATTCTACCCAGGGTTACTTTCTTCTTCAAACATACAAAATAATTATACATTAATGCTAATAAGAAGCAAGGTTAATGAGTTCGTATGATTAACACAATGCAAGCACATAAAGTAGAAAGGGTAATTTTTCTGATTTCTAATGAAAAACAATTTTTATGCTCCTTGTTTAAAGAAGCCTTCAAGACCATGTGATGGTCACAATGCAAATTCATATGCCATCCAGATGCAACAGGGTACAGCTGCTTCAAGGCCAATTAGCTTAGCTGGTAATTCTCAAGGTGTTGTCTTAGAGCTAAATTTTATTTCGCTTCCACCAAGTGACAAGTGTAAAATGTTATGAGATTGTGGAGTTGGAAAAAAAAAATATATAAATCCCCATTCAATGAACTATATATAACATCTTCAGAATACTCTTTTATACTGACTAATTCTGGCTTTTCTATGATTAAAACCATAAACTCTAACACATTATATGCTCCACGTTTCTCAGAAAGATAAATGTCAAAGATGTAATCAAATATGCTTCATATAAGTCTCAAAAATGCATGACAAGCTTCCTTGAGGGAACTATTGAGATACCACATTTCATTGGGTAAAAAGTATGGAGTTATCAAAATGTATAGAAGAAGACTGAATACAGCCTAGTAGTCTATAAACGATAAAATATTTTGGTTCAGCGTTGAAAGTACTTACGTATGCAATCGAATGGCTTGTAAATAAGGATGATCAAATGTTTTATCCTACATTATCAATATGAACATTATAAGAAGTCCACAAATGAGCTAGCAGTGACGATATGTAAAACAAAAGTAAAATATCATGTCTATTATTAATAAACAATGAACCATTCAGGCAAAATGTTCGACAGTGGAAACTCCATATCCTCGATGTATTTAATAAGCATCTTATACTATGTCCATCACCATTTGAACATTCTTCTCATGGCAATTGGCAAATATTTATGTTCACATGGTATTTTGCAAATTGATGGTAGAAGAGGCTACGAAGCTAAGGACTGACAAACAATAAGACACCGGCATTCCCAAATCCCAATACCCTCATTGCCCATCAAAATAACTCCCAGGGGCTTCAGATACATAATTCATCTAAGATAGTAGAGCTATGACATTCTGATGACAACAATACATAGGAATTTAAAAAGCTCCTGAGATATAGTTTCACAGGACAACAGTATTGCAAGCAGTTACCTTTATACATAGGAATTTAGAAAGCTCCTCAGATATAGTTTCTCAGGACAACAGTGTTGCAATTAGTTGCCTTTATAAGCTCGTTTCTTTTCTTCTAAATTTTCTGAAGGGAAGACATCCTTAAACTAAGATTATAAACTCTTCAAAAGGGCTAATCAATATTAAACATTAAGACCTTCAAGAGGGAAAATGATGGGTCAAATTTATGACTAATTATAGGCATCAATGGAGGGTAGTAGGTATCAACTTAAAAGCCTAAATAACAGTGGTATAGACACTCAAAAATTAGCAATAACATGATATAGCAGTAAATGCAACCATCGAACTGCACTACAAACCTGAAGCATGTGATCTATCCGTCCTTCTCCACTTCCAGTTAGCCTCTCCATCATTATAACACCATATGATCTTTCTTCTCTTTCTTCGGCATTTTCTGCCACTGCCATATACACAAAAAGATTGTTGAGTGCATTCAAAAAATATGGAAAAGAAACCAACATGGATTAAGTGAAATTTCATTTATGGGATCAGGGCTTTGTTGTTTACTTTTAATATTATCTTTTTTACTACTGAACAATGGAGGGGAACCCTAAGTACAAGAATGGTGGGTCCCTTCAGCCATTGTTACTCATATGTGCAAAAGGAGGTTAACATGAAGAAACAGAAAAGCACTAAAACAATAGCAGTAGAAGATTACATTAACTTCTAGGGCATCTGCATTTCTCGATTGACAAACTGTAATTACTTTAGCCAGTTTCAATAGCATAAAACTGAGAACTTCAATACTCACACATGATCAAAAACCAAAGACCAAAACATGTACATGATAATTCTGGGTGAACTTAAGAACTAAAGGTCAACTAATATTAAATTGATACATCGATGTTATATATACATAGAAACATATATAAAAGAATAGCTACTGAGTCGGAATTTCAACAAAATTAAATTCTCCAACAGTGAACAAAAAAAACCACCCTTAGATACATACATAATATTTAGTTCAAATTGAGGGGAAAAAAATGACACTCTGACAAGTATGATCAGTCTGGGTTAAGTAAAAAAAGAGCTACACCGAACAAAGTTGAACCTCTGATGAATTTAATCCTCATAAAAGTTATTCCAGAAACAGAATTTTAACTTCTGAGGGAGATACAAAGAACAAAAATGAGTCTTGATTCTAAAGCAAATACAATACTTAACTCTAAATTCAAACTGGTCATTGTATATTCGCTATGTATGTATATATTGACATTATTAATTAGTCTGAGCAGGAGAGTTAAAGCATAATCCAATAAAGCTCAACTCATAAACATGTAGCATAGTCTATATTACAAAGTTGAGAAATGAAAAGCCTGACCACCATCATGCTCTATAGTAAGTGTAAAGAAACAAGATAAGCCCAAAAACTGAAAAATAAAAAAGAAATATGCCTTTGAAGAAGTTGAAAAGAGAAACTAACAATGAATAGTATCAGAACCCACCCTTACAGAGTTGAATTGGTCCACTATTGCCTGAGAACGAACAGCTACATCTCAAGTAAATTCCTAACTCACATTTATAAGGATGAATTAGAAAGTGGGAAAATTTCTTTTAAACAAAAAATGCTCCACAAAGAGAGAAAGAGGAAAAATTTTAAAACCTTAATTGTGTGGTGCTAAAGGGAGCTTACCTGGAACCCATATATGAAGCCTCTTTCCACCTCTATGGTAAGGGATAATAACTGGACGTACGGTGAGGAACTCTTTACAAACAAGTGGTTCTACTCTGTGTAAGAAACCACAACATAAGACACCACAACACAACATCCATAATACTTTCCAGATTTATAAATATCAAAGACAAAAATAGAAAAGAAAAAAACATATAAAACCATACATGTCATTCACAAGAAAATAAAGCATTCAAAATAATCATAGTCACATTGGTTTTGTTCTGAGTCAAGAAATGTGCAAACGCATGTGTAACATGAGTTACTGGATTCTTATCACCTTGTGCAAGAGTTTGTGGCATTTAATAAAATACTGGAATGTGCAAACTTTGAACCAAATAAATATTTTTTAATTTGTTTTAACAAGAGGATGTCAACAGAGGGGGGACATTAGGGAGAAAAAACCATAAACTTGTAAGAGAGCAAAGAGAGAGAGAGAGAAAAGAAACAGGGAGTATTACGAGGTAAATTTTAAAAATTTATGAAAAAGCCCTTAGGTTTACTAATTTAACTAAAGACCCTAACATATAAAATGACAAAAACACCCCATCACCTGCAGTGTCAGATTTCGGCCACCACCGTCGGAATCTGGCCGGAAAATTTCGTTACGGCACAGACCGGTCGGATCTGTGCCGTAACACGTCGTTATGGCCTTTTCCGGCCAGATCCATGGTGGATCTGGCCGGAAAAGGCCAGATCTACGGTCTGTTATGGCCTCGAAGGTCGGAAAAGGCCAAACAAGGGCCATCTTTGGCAAAAATGTGGCCGTCGTTTTCGGTCAACGACGGCCATTTCTTAGGCCATCACTGACGGCCAGATCTGGCCTTTTCCGGCCAGATCCGTGGTGGATCTAGCCGGAAAAGGCCACAGTGGTAAACTTCTGGCCATTTCTGGTCGGAAGTTAGGCCGTTGTATAGATTCTGGCTATCACCGACGGTGGTTGCCGGAATCTGACAAGGTGGGTTGATGGGGGTGTTTTTGTTAATTTTTAAACTTTTTTTCAGGGGGTATTTAGTGAAATTAATAACCTTATGGGGTTTAAATGTAAGTAAAAAAATAGGGTAATATTTCTGGAATAATGTGCCAAACATTATTTGGAGAATAGGATCCAGAATAGGGATAAAAATATTAAGCCAAACATGCAGAAGATTTTTGTTTATTCTGCCTTTACTATTACCTAATAGACATTTAAAATGTTCACATCAAGTCTCTCATTAAACTTTGTTCACATATACAAAAAAATGTCCGAAAAAACAGATGGTGATTTTTCTTATAAGAAACTGATAATATGTATTAGAACAACATGAGTTACACCGGTGGACAAGCTGCCAACAGAAGAACAAAAAAAAGCAGGGTAGGGGTAACAAATCTATACAAGAGAAGAAAATAAAAACTAATAAAAACTATGCGGTGATAATTTTCCTTATCCTGGCCAAATGAAACCAAATTATAAATATTAACCCAAAACCTCTTCCCAGTTAAGATGTATAAACAAAAAAGAACAATCTTATTCACGAAGAAAAGTTAAATAGTCAAAATCTATCATATAATTCCCATTGTTACTTCTCTTTGCTTAGCAAAAACCAAAGGTGATTTCGAAACATTAAATAAAACGGTTCCTCATTACATTCACAGGCATTCACAGTGTCGGTGAGGTGTTTCAAATAATAATTGACATGCCATTATTGCAGCATTTTATGGCGAAATACAGTCCACCACTTAAAAGGTCAGAAAAAAATAAATAGAGCATACTGTAGCATTGATATGGATGTGCAAAGACAAACCTATATGCTACAGGATCATATGGGTGAAAAATGTTGAACATTTGACGACAAGCCGGCATCTCTTCAATTATATTTTCTTCATCCATATAATCTTGCCCTTTTCCTGAACAGAGAAGGAAAAAACAACTAAAAAACTGGATTTCTAGAGCTTCAAGTATGGAACCAAGTATAATAGAAGTTCCAAAGAAAAAAGCAGAAACTAAAATTAAAATCAACAAAAGATGAAGATGTTTAGAGGATGGTTGAAAATACGAATTTTTTGTGTTGAAAATGCATGATTGCCTGAACTAGCATCAAAATACACAAGAATTTATTACATATTACATATCTATGAGCTTCTAAAAAAACATATAACAAAAACTGCCAAAGTTACCAGCAAAGTAATGAAAAGAAATTCTTCTAACTAATCATAATTTATCCTGAATTTCCCACTCAAATTGATGTAAAATCAAGTCCAATAATGAAAACGTGAAAGCCTTTGAACTTCAATAAAGATCTAATGAGATTCTAAAGATGAAAGCATTTCTCAAAACCGTGAGGAACAAAAGTATACTTCATTATCCACACCCACGGCCAAATGATATAAATATTTACAAATATACAAAATACTTCTCTGAATGTCATGTTGCAACAGTGAGAATATTCACTCATCAAAATTTCAATCATACAAGTGTATTGAGGATTACCTATTCCAATACGGATATTTCGGAGGGCAAGGAAGACACCAAGAGGTGATCCAACAGCAAAGAATGTGTAAACCTGATATGTAAGAATTAATGTCAAATCAGTAACAAGATTCATCATCTTAAATTTATAGCTCGTAAGAAGTTCCGTTTCTGACCTTGAATTCGAGCTTTGCGTACTTAATATAAAGGGTATAACTCTTTGGTTCATCATCTAGCAAAGGTTCAAGCTTCTCAGAAATGGGTTGCTTTGGCTGTCTATGCTCAAGATGTGACCGTCTATGCTCAAGATATCTCCAACCGACCAATATTCCAGTTTAGTGTGCATAGGATGAGAAGCAATTTTAGAACTTTTTTTGATAGGAAACTTAGATAGTGGATCAAGTATCCACTACTACAAAACAACCCATCTAATTATGCTCTAAAGCTTTAGAAAGACTATCATGAACCTGTGCAGAAAAATGTCATTTTAAACAAGGAACCTGGATTGAAAGAAGCTTTATAGTTGAATAATGAAACAGCTTAGTCATTGGGAAATAGAAATGAAAGAAGAGAAGGTGAGAAATTGGAAACAAGATAAACAATACCGAGTTGATAATATCCTGACAGTAGATGGGGCTCATGTAGTATAACACATCATGAACTGTTGCACTCAGCATGACATGCAAACCCCGTACACCATCTAAAGTAATCTTTCCAACTGCAGTTTCACAACTGAGCTTCAAACGTTTTCTCCACTGTAACACAAATACAGTGGCATAAGAAACACACTTCAGTGTACCGAATAGCACCAATATAAAAAAAATAGAGAGAAGATTTTGCTATGGAAACAAATATAAAGTGATTGAGAATACACACTTCAGCATAGAAAATGACAACAATATCAGAAATAAAAGAGAGAAGATTTAGTTAAGTACCATGTTGAAATGTAAAATAGGAAATAGGATTATTCTTATTATAATATAGGAAACATAATTATTCTCATTTAGGTTAGGATCAAAACCATTAAGAATTAGATCAGTTATAATAGGAATGTAACAATTTTCTTCCTAGATTAGTTTTTTGTTTTTGCTATAAATTCAGTGTACATTTCATTACGAATATACAAGTAAATACAAGGTATTTTTTCACATGGTATCAGAGCCAAGTGTCTGAAATTTCAAAAAAAAATTTCTCTCTTTCTCGGAATTTTTCTTCCGGCCACTGTTCTCCGGCAACGATCAAAGTCTGGTCTAATCACACCAGACTGATGCGCACGCACCCTCATGCGCAGTTCGTTTTTCCAGCAACCCCTCCTCCGATCTACTTTTCCGACAAGCGTGAGTTCTCACCGCCACCAGAATCTTGTTCCTCTCCACCTCGCCGGCACATCCCTTCAAGGTGTTTCCGTCAACTTCTGCTCCGATCTGGTTTTTCAACGAGTGTTCTGTTTTTTTGGCAAGTATTCTGTTTTTCCGATGCACATAAGTTTCTACTTTTCTGTCAGCTTCAAGACACTCTGACCTTCTCATGGATTCCTCAAAATCAGCCTCAGTCAAATACAAGTGGTTTTTCTTTTTTATCTCTCCCTCCCATCACCACTGAGCGATTAATTGGGACTGCTAATTATTCATCATGGGCTGCCTCTGTTGAATTATCATGTATGGGTCAAGGTCTGGAGGATCTCTTGACCACCAAAGCTGTCGATATTACGTCAGATAAGTCTTCCTGGACTAAAATTGATGCTATGTTGTGTAGTATGTTATGGCAAACTATTGATCCCCCTCTTCACCCTATTTACAAATCTTATCGCTCTTGTGTTGATATTTGGAGTCAAGCTAAACTTCTTTATACAAATGACATTCAGCGTTTATATTCTGTTGTGTCCAACTTAGTTCGTCTCAAACAACAGGATATGAATATGTCAGACTTCCTTGGTAAGATGGCCTCCCTTAAGACAGAATTTAATCTACTGTTACCAACTGGTAAATCTGCGGTAGAAGATTTGGCCCAACGGGACAAGTTCTTTATGGTCCTGACACTTTCAGCTCTAGGTCCAGATCTTACACCTGTTCGAGATCAAATTCTTTCTGGATCCACTGTGCCTTCCCTTGATGATGTGTTTGCCTGATTACTTCGTGTTTCCTCCCCTACTACTGTGCATTCCCTAGGTGACTCTTCGATTCTTGTTTCTTAGTCCCATTCTTCTAGAGAACAAGATGATCGAAGTGGCAGAGAAAATCGACCCAAGTGTAGTTACTGTCATCTGTGGGGGCTTACGAGAGGGAAATGTTTTAAGTTACATGGTCGACCTGCCAGAGCTGCTAATATTGCTCAGGCTGATCACTCTGATCTTCATTCTGAGTCCTCTACAGTGCAAGTTCAACCCTCCTTAACTCTCACAGGTACTGATTATGATGAATACTTATAGTATCAGGCCAATAAGCAGTCTTCTTCATCCATTGCCTCCATCGCTCAAACGGGTAATTCAGTTGCCTGCCTTTCTCAATCCTCTGCTTTAGGACCTTGGATCCTAGATTCAGGTGTCTCGGGTCATATTTCTGGTAACCCTCGTTTACTTACTCAGATTACAAATATTGTATCTTTACCTCCTGTTACTTTAGCCAATGGGTCTAAAGTCGATGTCCAAGCTATTGGTTGTGCAACAGCCCTCCCTTCCTTAGAATTAGACTTTGTGCTTTATATTCCCAAATGTTCCTTTAATCTCATGTCTGTCAGTAAACTTACCCGCTCCTTAAATTGCTCTATTAGTTTTGATACTGACTCTGTTGTTAAACAGGACCGCGACACAGGACAGATGATAACAGGACGTGAGTCACAGGGTCTCTCATCTCCATATCCCATCTACAGTATGCATTGTATCCGAGTCTCCGGATCTCCTTCATAATCGTTTGGGCCATCCTAATCTTTCTAAACTTCAGAAAATGATCCCAAGTCTATCTAAATTATGGTCCTTGAGTTGCGAGTCATGTTAGCTTGGAAAGCATACTCGTAGTTCCTTTCCAAAGCGTGTCAATAAACAAGCTGCGTCCCCCTTTGAGTTAGTGCATTCAGATGTGTGAGGTCCTTGTCGTATTAACTCTAATTTGGGATTTAAATATTTTGTTACCTTTATTGATGAATATTCTCGTTGCACTTGGTTATTTCTTATGCGATCTCGTTCTGAATTATTTTCCATATTTTCATCATTTTGTACTGAAATTAAGACTCAACATAATACTATCATTCGTATTTTACGGAGTGATAATGCTCGCGAATATTTCTCTGATTCCTTTACTAAATTTATGTCATCTCAGGGAATTCTTCATCAGTCTTCTTGTACTTATAGTCCCCAATAAAATGGCATTGTTGAGCGTAAAAATAGACACCTCCTTGAAACTGCTCGCACTCTTCTTTTACATAACCATGTCCCTTTCCGGTTTTGGGCTGAGGCGGTTCTCACCGCTTGTTACTTAATAAATCGCATGCCTTCTTCTGTCTTACAAGACCAGGTCCCCCACTCCATATTACTCCCTAATCATCCATTATTTTCTCTTCCCCCACATGTCTTTGGAAGCACATGTTTTGTTCACATTTTCTCTCCTGGTCAGGATAAACTGTCAGCCAAGTCTACAAAATGTATTTTCTTAGGGTATTCACGTCTTCAAAAGGGCTACAAGTGTTATTCTCCCGCCACACATCGCTACTTCATCTCTGTTGCAGTCTCCTCGTGCTTGGTTTGGACGATTTAGCACAGTTATCCAAGAGTTTGGTATGATTCGATGTAAGTCTGATCACTCTGTTTTCTATAGACATACATCATCAAGGCAGTGTATCAAGATGGCATTGGACAATTGAAGCAACACTTGTTCAAACACTTTCAGACGAAAGATTTAGGGCTACTCAGATACTTTCTTGGCATAGAAGTTGCTCAGTCTAAATCTGGTATTGTTTTTTCTTACAGGAAGTATGTACTGGATATGCTAGAGGAAACAGGGATGTCAGATTGCAGACCAATAGACTCCTATGGATCCTAATTTAAAACTTTCACCTGGACAGAGGGAGCCTCTTGCTGATCCTGGAAGGTATCGAAGACTTGTTGGAAAACTTAACTATCTTACTATCACACGATCAGATATTTCCTTCTCTGTCAATGTTGTGAGTCAGTTCCTTCAAACTCCGTGTGATAGTCATTGAGATGCAGTTGTCTGGATTTTAAGGTATATCAAGGGAGCAGTAGGTAGAGGCTTACTGTATGAAAATAAGGGCCATTCGCATATTCTCGGATATTCAGATGCTGATTGGGCAAGATCTCCATCTGATAAACGTTCTACCTCAAGATTTTGTGTTCTTGTTGGAGGAAACCTAGTTTCATGGAAAAGTAAGAGACAAGCAGTTGTTGCAAGGTCAAGTGCTGAAGTAGAGTATCGTGCAATGGCCTTAGCCACTTGTGAGCTGGTTTGGTTAAAACAACTAAATCAAGAGTTGAGATTTGTCGAAGTATCACAAATGAAGTTACTCTGTGATAATCAAGCTGCCCTTCATATTGCTTCAAATCCAGTGTTTCATGAGAGGACTAAACACATAGAAATTAATTGTCACTTTGTTCGAGAGAAAATTCTATCAGGGTGTATTGCAACTAGTTATGTCAGTTCCAACGACCAGTTAGCAGACATCCTCACTAAGTCTCTCAAGGGTTCTCGTGTTGACTTTATTTGTAACAAGCTTGGTGCATATGACTTATATGCTCCAGCTTGAGGGGGAGTGTTGAAATGTAAAATAGGAAATAGGATTATTCTCATTATAATATAGTAAATAGAATTATTCTCATTTAGGTTAGGATCAAAGCCATTAAGAATTAGATCAGTTATAATAGGAATGTAACGATTTTCTTCCTAGATTAGTTTTTTGTTTTTGCTATAAATTCAGTGTACATTTCATTATGAATATACAAGTAAATACAAAGTATTTCTTCACATACCAAAATTAAGTAGCAAATCACTGATATCCAGCCGGCTTATAATGATTAACAGATCATTTTAGGAGCCCAAACCCAATACTGTTTCGTATCATTTCAGATTGACAAGATAAATTCAATCCTTCCTAAGATACTGATTTTGACAGAAATCAAGTTCAATATTACATGACTCTTTTAAATGATTCCAAACTGATGGCAGTAGACTAAAAATTTATGAGAATTGTCCAAAGTAAAAATCATTCCTAATGGAAAATAATTACAAATTACCACATGACAAAAAGTAAGCAATTAAGAATAAGTGACGACATGATGGTATATCTGTAAAAATAGACAAATAAGAGACATACTTCTGATGGAACTCCCCTGAAAAA